TATTATTATTGATATTTCAAATTCCATTCAATAAAACTTTCAATAATTATTATTCCTTCATTTGAAAAAAAAAAAAAATCAACATGATAAACGGAAATATATATATTAAAATTAATATAATTAATTAATAGGTGCAAAATAAACCCATAATGATATAATTTAAATTTCAATTTAATTTTTTTTTTAAAAAAAATTTTAAAAGGAATTTTAAGCTTTATACGCAACCGCGCAACTACGTAAGTCAAAAAAGCTATTTTATTTAATAATAACAATAAAAAGTTAATTAATGTGATGATATTATTTATGAATTTTCTTTTTATTTTAACAATTCGTGTGCCCTTTGATTGGCGACAGCTATTCTTGTTTGATTTGACGTTCCCTAGAAGAAAAAAAAATATATATTTAATTATAATTTTTTTACGTTACAGAAAAATTATTTATTTAATTAATAAAAAAAAAAAAAAAAAAGAAAAAAACCTTCAAATTGATTCTGTCAATTTGACGATTCTGATTTTCCAGCTCTGATCCCATATCTAAAGCCATATTCCGAAGATTTCCTATCATTGTGTTTACCTGTCCCATATTTTCTTCCATTTCAGTTTCGCGGGCATCATTTGTGATCCTAAATAATAATAATAATAATAATAATCAGTGTGCAATGGTTGGCAGACGCGTTAACATCATGTCAACTTATTTAATTAATTTTTTATAGTTTTATTTAATAGTTTAGTTATAAGTTATATATCAAAAGTTTTGTTATTTAGTGTAGTTTATTGTGATATAATTAGTTTTTTATATTGTTTAGTGATAATTATAATTATTTTATAATTAATATAATTATTTTACAAATGGTCAACGGTTTATCATGTGACAAAATGAAGCGCGGGCAGTAAAAAAAACCTTAGAAGATATCTTAGTACATCTGATTATTACGGGTAAGTGTCTTTTTTAACACTTGAATTTCAGTTGCAAAAGCGTTTGGCTAACAAAAAAAATGGAGCCAAATACCCAAAAAACTGTTTAATTAATTTTACATTTATTTGGTTAATTATGAGTAGTTTGACTAAATATCTTTTTCATCTCATCATAAAAAACAAAGTGTTGAAGTAATTTAATAAAAATATTCATTAATAATGATTGATTTGACATACTGGCTCAGTGTAAAATTTCTATATACTCCCTTTAGTCTTTAAGGGTTAATTTACTGATTGTTGGTTGTTGTTTAAGCATTTTCTTGAGTTAGTTGGGTCTCATTACAACATAGTTTATCATAAAGATAGTGTAATACTCCCTTTTAAATCTGTATCAGAATCAAGAAAAACTAGTAGCCTATGTAACAACTGATTTTAGTGTAGGGAATTACAAAAAGGCATATCAACAGACTTCATTTAATAATTTTACATTTATTGACCTGATTATAAGTAGTTGAGCTAAATACCTCTTTCACACTAAATGAAAATGGTGGTAGTTTAATAAAAATACTTGTAATTAGTTAATTTATTAAGTCAAGTGGATGTAAAATCTCTGTACTTCAGATTTTAAGTATGAATCAACTGATGTATATTATTTCAACCTTTTTCTTAAGTTAGTTTGCTTTAATGCAACATAGTTTATCATATAATGTAATGATACTTTTAAATCTGTATCAAAATCAGGAAACATTAGTAACCTTTATGTTAGTTGATTTTAATATTAGGAATTAAGAAAAGACACAATAAACTTCATTTAATAATTGTACATCTCTAGACCTGATTATAAGCAGTTGAGCTAAATACCTTTGTTATACTAAATAAAAAAGGTGGTAGTTTAATAAAAATACTTTAAGGATGGATGGATAAATAAGGTGGATGTAAAATCTCTGTGTATTCCTGTTGTTGTGTAAGTGTGGATCTATTGATTGTACATTACTTTAACTCTTTTCTTAAGTTAGTTTGTTTCATTGTAACATATTTTGTCATATGTTTGGTGTAAAATTCTCTTTTAATTTAAATTAAGATTAGAAAAATTCAACTGCCTTCAGATTATACTTAAGTTTATAGGTACAAAATAGTAATTTGTATACACTAAGGATGAAATGCATGAGGGTAAATTATGAAATGGGGAAAATAGTAGAAAAATTAAGTATTGAAATAGTTCTGAAGAAAAAGTTATATGATAACTGATTCATAATTGTAATAAAGCAAAATGAGAACAAAATAAAGACAGAGCCAAAACGCAAATCTTATTCTATTGTCAACCTTAGTCAGCTGTAAATCTCACTTCTCCTGTTCCTGGCAGCTTCACAGATGTCAGTCACTGGAGCCCAGGAGTACAGGAGATAACTTGTTTCCATCGAATAAGATGGTCTCAGTGAGACTTACAAGAATTGTTGTCATGTCATAGGTTATAAAAAGCCTATTTGTCAAGCATGCAGCATCACTTGTATTCAAGCATTTATTCCTTTGGGATCGGATAGAAACCTGGAATAAATGTTGAAAAACAATTCGACAAACATTAAGGCGAATTGTCGTGATTATGAGTGAAAATAATAATAATAATAATAATGTTATTAATTTTTCTTCCTAGTTGTAAAGACGTTTCAATGATAAAACATTAAAAGCGGATTTTTTAAAAATTAATTGAAATATTTAACCAGACAATTTTATGTGGTATCTAATGCAATAGACGCGACTAAATATTTTTTTAATATGTATGAATAATAAACGTCCGATGTCGATTCTAGTTATATCTCAAACCAAATCGAATAAAGTTCTTAATATATATAAGATTATGTATTATTCAAAAAAGCCACTGAAATTTTTTAATTTGTACCTTTGACAAATTCGACTTGATAGAAAATGTTTTTTAAAAAAATTTGAAGTACAGATTTAGTAATAACAGAATTTAAATCCTCTAGTACGACCTTTTTGAAAATTATCGAATCACGGTAATTTTTTATAAAAGAAATAAAAAATAATCTTCTTACTTTGCAATATAACCTCCTTGTGGTCCCATCCCGTTCCTTTCGTCCATAACCCTTTGAGGCTGATTATTTACCACCTTTCCATCGTCGGTTCCCTTCCATGTTCCTTCATCTTCTTTAAAGGATGCAGATCTTTAAATTAAAATTTTAAATTATTTATAAATATAAAATATACAAATATAAAAATACAAATATTCAATTAAATTTTTAAGTGATGTTACAAATTAAATAAAAGGCGTTTTAAATTAAATTTTTGTTTTCTTACAGTATAAGTTATTTCGGTATAAATAAATTTTTTTTTTTTAAATTAATCAAATAATAATATACGAGGTTTTTACTATTAAAAAAAAAACAAAAAATTAAAATGTGCTATTAAAATAAAACTAAACTAGTAACGAACGAATAAATTAATAAAAAATATAAATAATTGAGTACTGTTAAGGATAACTTACTTGTTGCAAGGCAAAACGCATATTCCGCAACATTTTTCCATACCAGTTAAATTTTTTTCTGCTTCTTTCATATCAGCATTGATTTGATCCATGCCCTCTTCAACTCTATCCAATTGCTCTGAAGGAAATAGTTAAATTAGTAATAAATTTTTTTTTTCAATTTATTTTGTAGTAAAAAGCAAAAATGAATTAATTATTTTATTTTTATTTTTCATTCGAACCTGCGTAATCGAAAAAAAAAAAATTTTTTACTTTGATCTAATAAATTTACAAATAAAAAAACAAAAAATTTTGGGACATAATTGTTTAACATAAATTACTAAGAAGCCAATCAAAAAGCTAAACTTTTTACAGGTTCTACATAGTTTCTAAAACAAAAATAAAAATTTACATTTAAAGTTATAGAAAATGCTATTTTTTAAATATAAAAATCTCTTTCCTCATTTTATATCAAAGCTATGCTACACAAAAAAATTAAAACTTGGTAATATATATATATATATATATATATATATATATATATACAAGCATGCAAACAACTTTGTAAAGAGTAAAAAAAAAAAGAAAGTATTTACAGTTCACCAATGTTAATTTTATTATTATTAATGTAAAAAAATATTATTTTAAAAAAAAAAGCAAAAATGATTATATTTCGAAAGAAAAATTTAACATGCTTTAATTATAGTAGTAAAAATAATATGTACCTCATACAGGATACTTAATTAATAATTAATATACTAATGAAAAATAGTTTTTGATAAAAAGAAAATTGAAGAAAATTACAAATTAACCATTGAAATCGAATATTTCGAAATATGACTTTTCTTTTTTTGATGAAAATAATAAATAAAAAAATTGGAATGCGTAAATGTAATTAATAATATCAAACGTATTTTATGAGTTTCACTCAATTTTGCACACTATACATACATACATACATACATACGTAATACATAGATTAAAGGTGGAAAGTAAATAAAGATTCCAGACGATGATATGAATGATGATACATCGTCAAAGAGTAGTACCAATAATAAATATATATAATCTTATAAAAATTCACATTAAGCTTAAGTAACAGAAAAGGTGTAAAAGCAAACTAACAAAACTACAAAATCTGTTGCACACTATGAGAAAAATACACAGAAAAACAAATTATTTATGTATATATATATATATACACACACACACTCACATGTATATGACTTCATATATATATATACACATATACGTATGTAAAACAGAAAGAGAGAGGAGAAAATTATGGAATCGGAATCTTACCCCCTTGTTCATCCAACATGACTAGGGTTTTCATTCCAACCTCGTGGCTCTACAAAATTAACAGGGACAATCAGCATTATGAGAAAGAAACAAAAACAAAAATAAAAATTTCATGAACCATTATGCCAGGCGATATTCTGAAGATGAATCTGAGAAATTAAAGAATTTAAAAATAGCAGACGATTTCTCTTCTAAAACTGATGAAAAAAAAATGAAAAAAAAAAAAAAAAAAAAAAAAAAGGAAAAAAAAACTTAAAAATTACAAAAAAATGCAAAAAAAAAAAAAAAAAAATTAATTATTTTCCTTTGCGACCAATGTCAGTAGTGTCAGGTTTTACGTACCTATAAATTATTAATACGTCAATTTGTAAAAGTTATCACTTAAAAATATACATTTATATTGTTATATATGAGTGTGTTTGTGGGTGTGTACAAAATGACATTTGACAAAAAAAAATAATGATACGTATATAATATAATTTTTTAGAAAACTAAAATGAAAATTAAAACCTATTATATTTTATTAATATTTGTTCGTTTTAGATTTTTTGTATTTTCTTAAGTTTTCTTTTCTTTTTTTTTCTTTTTTTTTAAAGTAAAATTATAAAAATACTTCAATTAAAAAATACCTATATTGCATATAGAGTAGAAATAAAGAGGAAAAAAAAATGTTATTAAATAGAAA